AGCCAGTGTACCGATGCTTACACGCGTGTGCATTAGGGGGTATCGTTGCCAGAATGTGAAAAAGGAATGACAATTCGTGTATGCTGCATGCGCGCCTTTGACGGGTACAGAAAAGCGTCCGCTCGCAATGGATGTGAATCGCGGGGAGAGCTTAAGCAGCCAGTAGACGCTCGCTGTTAGATTGCATTAAAAGCCTGCAAGCGCGAATTCTGGCCTGGTGCTCTACCCGCGAACTGCCCCGCAGCAACGCCCACAAACTGTGCGTGTACTAGTTGAAACTCCCTTCTTCCCTTCTTGTAGGGCGAACTTATTACAGTCTAAACAGACTTTTCTGTTAATACTGAAAGGCAAGCCATTCTGTGAACCCATATTGACAAGTGCATTTGCGGCAAGAGGCGAGGACCACCGCTGTTCCAGGAGGGGAAAACGCTGTGGTCACTAATGCGTAAACTTGTATCCAAGGCTTCTGATTCGATAATATTTCGGACGGGGGAATCCGTACTTCCTAATACTCGTGTACAAAACCAACTCCAGTTGTCTGCGTGCGCAAGTGAGTAATAGCCACCCGGCAAAAGGCAAGAAAAAATTCGGCACCGCAATCAACCGGGCGTCTTTGGCCAACGCCCTGCCGCGCGTCAAGGCCATTCAACTTCCCATTGAGCGGTTCCAAATGAGCTGATCTTGCAGTTGGGCCAACTGCAGCAAGCGCGCACACGCGCATTCAGACGGTGGCAGCCCTCCCTGCCCCATTTGAACACGCAACCCCCAGGGTAATGCAATACACACCATCCTTGGACTCCCCCCCCTCCCAAGCGTATAAAATCATCTCATGCTTCTTCGGGGATGACCTAACGCCGTCGGCACATAAACTGGTTTCGTCAGCGGCCAATGATGACTGATACAGCGACTCGGGGTTCTGTGCACAATAAGTTTCTTATTCAGGTGTCTTCGATCTTCTCCTGTTAATCGTAACTTGGTCACCACCAATAGCTGTTCAAAGAGATGAACACAGCATTCATAAAAGGCCCTTGTTCAAGCACTAGGATCAAGCCATAATGGGTGTTATCTTCCAGTCAAACAAGTTTGGAAATTCGCCAACGGGCGTGTCGTTCCCTACCTTCCTTGTTTTCCCCCTAGCCAATGGAACTGAACTTCTTTGTTCGGTCAATTCTTGACTTTGACGTTGGAACTGAGGGCCACTCCGTTTGTTTAAAATCGTCCCTGTACATGCGTATTACCCACTCTTATGAAAGCACGTCTCAATGTCTGGAGTCAGGCGTTGAAGTCAAACGACTCCTCTGTTCTGTACGGGTGTCCATCGTCGAGACTTGTACCATGGTTATCCTTAATTATTTGTGAATAGCATCGTGCAAAACCCAGCTGTGGTTCTTTATTTTGATTTGACGTACGCGTTACTTTGGGATACTGGCTTGTCGGTTACAGGGGTGAATCTGGATCTCCAGAAAGTTGATATACCCTGGAGATTAGGCAAACAGGTGACTAGGGGACCTGTTGAAAAGTGCTTATATGAGGTTCCGATGGCGAAAAAATGTCTTAACCTCCATACACATATTTGCATCGGACGCCATGATTTTTGGTTGGTCAGCTGCAGCGCTGACCAGTACTGTCAATGCTAAGGCAGTTGGAGAATTGGCTTTCACTAGTTATAGCTGTTCTATTATTCAACATAGCGGACTGACGAGTACACTATTCAAACAAGGAAGATGAAGTCAACAGTAGAGAGGAGCCGGCTTCATCAACTCCTCACTGCGTCACCCCTGTAAGACAGAAAGCCTGAGAAGGCGGCGCCCCTTTGCTAATCTATTTTTAGGCTACTCGACGCATCCACAGGTGGCAGATAGTGGAACAGGCCTCAGCGGAGGTCTAATGAAAAAAAACAAGGTCATGGGTCTGACGAATATGTGGTCGCAGAGCATGCTGTATTGACACGGACTTGGCACATTGTCTAACTATAAAAAGACAAACCATTGTGGTCTTTCGTCACCAAATAGGGTTTAAGTTTATCATAAGTGTTGAAACTATGTTGAGGGTCGACCCAAATGTGATCAAACTCGCATCGTTCGGTGGGGCCTAGTAGCTCAGGTGGCTAGAAGGTTTGCTGTAATAAGGCCTCCCCTTGCTGTCGTGGGTTCGAATTCTACCGAAGTGCCGGGTTTTTCACAGATGGGTCGAAATGAATTATTCAGACCTCAGAACTGATGTTTAAACCGAAACGCGGTTGGCCGCTGACCTCTAACGCTCTATCAGGGAGTTTAATTGCTTATTGGCTCAGAAAAGCCCGACATTCCACGGAGAAGAAATAACCAAACGTGCACCACTGGGCAACCGTAACCACACCGATGGCAGTAAAATGAGTTATTAAAAATCTGCCTAAACCTATTAATCACGTCGGCCTGGTAGTCATCTGGTGGATTCTAGAGGGATTTTTTAGTAAATCGTGCTTGGGCGGTCAGCATACTGAATCAGACTTAGTGGATTCCAAGCGTTGCAGTAGGTTGGGCGGGTAAACTTGGCCCGAATGTGATTAACCTCACGTCTCCCAATGGGACATCGTAGCTCAGGTGGCTAGAGGGTTTGCTGTAATACGGCCTCCCCTTACTGTCGTGGGTTCGAATCCCACCGAGGCGCCGAGTTTTTCACAGTTGAGTCAAATGTGAAGAGGCTTAAGTTTCTGTTCGGTCGAATCCGGGAATCTTAAATCGCCGTGTTTTAGGGTTATATAAATGCATTCCTCATCGAATCCGATGGGTGCTAGAGGACACCCTCCCACACAACTACTTCTCGGCGAGCGACGACTTAACCAGGTTGGTGACCGGATTTCCCAGCCTCGGTCACCTCCCAGAGTTTTGTTCTCTACACTTCCGGACTTCCTTGTGGCATAAAATTCAGATGTATTTTTGTTCTGGACTGCGAAAGAACAAGTTTATAATCAAACGGCCATTTCTTGCTAGTACAGCTTAACCATTTAGCCGGTCTGGTTGGCCAGATTCCACAAAGGGACAGTTTCTGCTACTTTTTTGTCCCGCAGCCATAAAAACAAACTCCAGGAGAAGTCCGAGGGATCACTGCAATAAATTCAGCTTTGTGTTTTGAAGGTGTTCGTACAGGCAAGGTTGTTCAATTTCACCCACACCAGCTCGATTAGCCAGATGACGACATCTCAACCGTCGTTAGCGACGATGTCCACTGTGTGATCCACAGCAGGGTGGGCACGGGGACGATGACTGGCGCGTGAATTAGTTTATGGTGGTAGTAGGCCTGCGTTGAATCTACCGCAGTCTCTCCCCGC